AATTCTATACTATACAATCAGTAACTATACTATCAATTCTGCTGACCCTATTCGCTGGACTCTGATTGGCTGATGCTCACTCTCAGGTGTTTGGTTATTGTCAGCTAAAGTAGTTCCGGTAGATTTAGAACTCATTACAGCTCCATATCACTCCACTGAATGATTAGAGTTACTACACACACACACACACAACAGAAGGAGGAGGAGGACACTAGTGCTACACACAGGAGATGCTTGGAGGACACACACCTGACTAACACACAAACACACACACAACATCTGAATATTAGAGGATAAAGCGCACACGCACACACACATATCTGAGAGTGAACAGAAACACAGAGATTAAGAGTGAACACACCTGACAGATCTTCTCCCAGATCTCGTCACAGCCGGCCTTCTCCTGGAAACTCAGAGCCAGATCATAGTTCTCCGCTTCAGACCAGACGATCAGTGTGTCCTGAGGAGAGCACAGCGTTACACACTCACCCAGTGTGTGTGTGTACATATGAGAGAGTGTGTCCGGAGGAGAGCAGCACAGACCTAACACACACTCACTCAGTGTGTGCGTGTATGAAAGAGTGTATCGTGAGCATATAGATACACACATATGTGAGTGTGTAGATCTGAAGTGTGTGCAGTAGGTGTGTGTGTAGGCTGTGTGTTCACCTGCTGTTTCTGATAGGCAGTGCTGGGCTTGATCTTGGACTCGAGCAGCAGTGACCCTGAGGAACAGAGAACAGTGAGGGTCAGTACACACACACACACACACACACACACACACACACACACACACACACACACACACACACACACACAGAATAATTAATCCAAGTAATAATCGTGTTTATAATTAATGAGTGTGCTGTTATTCTGACAAACACAGCAGTCAAGAGGAGCAGACACACACACACATTTTACATACAAACATAATACTGGTGCAAGGAACCACCAACTATTCCAGCAGATGTTTTACACATTTCTCGATGCTGATTCCACATAATTATGATCATAAACATTTCTGGATGATCAGATCTTCAGATTAGGGTGATTTATAAAGGATATCCTATCAGTATAAGAAGAATACTCAGCTTTTCAGACCTGTGTGTGTGTGTGTGTGCGTGTGTGTGTGTGGTTCTGGTTTTCTGACCTACTGAACACGTCCTGCAGCCTTTTGTGTCGGGAATCTTCATGCTGATTGTAAACTTCCTGTTATGAGGAGATGACAACACAGATTAGAGAGAGAGAGAGAGAGAGTGTGTGTGTGTGTGTGTGTGTGTGTGTGTGTGTGTGTGTGTGTGTGTGTGTCTCACCGTGCTCTAGTTGGTGAGTGTGCGTGTTTGTGTCTGTGTTTGTGTGTGTGTGTCTCACCGTGCTCTAGTTGGTGTGTGTGTGTTTGTGTTTGTGTGTGTGTGTGTCTCACCGTGCTCTAGTTGGTGTGTGTGTGTTTGTGTTTGTGTGTGTGTGTGTCTCACCATGCTCTAGTTGGTGTGTGTGTGTGTGTGTCTGTGTTTGTGTGTGTGTGTGTGTGTGTCTGATTGTGTGTGTGTGTGTGTGTGTGTGTGTGTTGCTGATTGTGTGTGTGTGTGTGTGTTGCTGATTGTGTGTGTGTG